TTAAGGGCAAGGGGTACGTATAGAACCCTGTGTGCGTATGGAAATAGCAAGGTGGTTTCACGTGATGGTGTACCATTTGCCCGGTGATAGATCCTTAACGCCGCCCCGTATGTTGATTCAGCGTTAAAAGGTGCACCTGAGTATGAACCCTCGGCTGCACAGGTGAAATCATTCCTTCGCCGTTTAACCCTTTCCTACGACCGATAATTTGCGCTCGTAAAATTATACGCGGCAATTTCGTATGTTAAACATTGTTCGTTCCATCGTTTCGACGATCTTCCGAGAAAACGCGTGTATACCGCGACACCTGTTAAACTTTCCTCCTTGTTTCTGATCGTCGCGTGCGTACGACTCCCCATTCTTTTTCTCTCCCGTGATTCCAACGAGTTCGAGAGATCGTTCCGCCGAAGGACACCCGTTAGAACGGAGCGGCGAGTCGGTGCCTGCTGACCCCATGACCCTCTCACAAACCCGACGACCTGTCTATACGGTGTATACGTGAATTGCAGGCTACCATTCGGCCACCTGCGGCTTCTGACATCTCAAGCAGCGTCGGTAGTGACCGAGCGAACACCTCTCTTTGCACGCGCGAGCACACTCTTTGACAAAGGTGCATTATCCCTCGCCCTCCGGCTTTCCTGAAAACCTGTTTGCAAGCAAGCGCGACGCCTTTGTGTCCCCCACGCAACCAGTCACAACATCGTCAAAATCGTAAAGAACCAGCCAATCGACGGGACGTTAATTGCTTCCACATCGTCCACCTCGATTCTTTACCTGTTCGTCCAGCTATAGACAATTCTCTGTTCGCTGTTCGTTTCGTTGCATACGCTTCGAGTCCAACTCGAAAGTGAAATTAGAAACTTTCCTTGGTTACGATCCTAAAAAATTCTGAAAAATCGTTTGGTTCGTCGTCGAGGCTTCGACCTACATTTCCCAGAGCGTAGCACTCGTTAATCGATTCCTCTACTGAATAGAAACGCTTTTTACGCGGTTCCCGAAGGAACTTCTGAATGGTGAAATTCGAACGATGCAGAATCCCGCGATTCAAGTGGACCTTCCTCGATTCGAGGCTGTTACCGTTACGATACGGACCGATTTTCCATGGAAAAAAGAAAAGAAGGAAACGCGACACGCGAGATTCTTCCATCGAAAATCGCTTCGCCCCCCGAGGAGGCGCTTTTTTCCGCGTAGCCGTGAGTCGCCACCCTCGGAGAATAATAAAGACGTCCCATTACCCTGGAAATTAGAGGTTTTGCTTCTATGGAGTACGCACCGAACCAGCGGGAGAAACGTTTATTTCTATCCGGGAACGTTTTAACCACCGCTCCTCGATACGCCGGAGGTCTCCTCCAAGGGGGACCAGGTGCGCCAAAACATTATTTTCCTTCCATGATTTGTTGGGACGCGGAAACTGGGCCAATCTCGATAGGGCTTCCAGGCGACTTGTAAATCAAATCTCTCTTTAAAACCCTGGGACCTGAACCACTCACGCGTGTGTGTACGTTATATCGCGGAGAAAAAGAAAGAAATAAAACATTCTTCGAAGGGCTTTCACAAGGTGTGAAGATTTTTTCCCCCTCTCGAATCGAATCGTACGTACTTAACCATCAAGTAGGTACACACACGAGTATGTTCCTCCTTGAACGGTTCACGATTTTTCTCTATTTTTTCCACAGATTTTTAAGAGCAACTCGACCAAGTTTCTTATCGAATAGAATTTTTTATCACGTTCGATAGTATTTTTTTCTCTGCCCCGCGTTGTTCCTCCTTTTTTTTCTCTCTTCTCACTGAATTTTTCACCCACTTGCGGAAACTCGAGACGCATTCGCCGGCCCATTGTTCTGCCCAGTTTTTCGCGCGGAAAACTTCTTAAGAGGCCGGCCGAACTTTACTGGCCCTCTGTTCTCCCCCGAAAACGGAGCTCGTGTTTTTTTTCTCCCTCTCATCTTCCTCCGTTGCCCTCTCTAATTCAGGTCGAACGGTTCGACGAGCCCGGTAATTTTACGAAAAAGAACAGAAAGAGAGAGAGAGAGAGAAATAAGAAAAACAGGAACGAACGGTGGGTAAAAAGGGATGAAGAGGAGAAGAGAAGAGAAGAGAAGGAAAAGAAAAACAAATAAACCGTACGGAACACGGTGCGGGACCATTGGGACCATTTTACAGTTTCCTGTACCCCCGTTTTACTGTCCACAGGGTGTATACCTTCATTTACGATGCGTCGAAATCCTTCGTTTCACCCTCGGCGGCCGGAACGGAGGCCAGGTAGCTCTGTATCGATCTGACGCGTATCACTTATTACTCCACTAATTGCTTTACGACGCTAAGTCCACGGGGAGAAACGCTCTAAACGCGGATTTTTTTACGCCGTTTTACGACAGCCTGTATATTTCTCCTTGGAAGGTTCCGCAGCGTTACAGCGGCCCTTTTTAGCCATCCCTAATACTCCAACTTTACGCTATTATAAAATCGTTGGAAATTACCGATCCAGTGTAAAAAAAGAAGGAGAAAAAAGAGAAACAGAATATACCGATAATACGTGTCCATAAAAATGGTAGAAACTTCCTGGAAATAGCAGACCTTTAAATTTTCGACCACCACGGAGGGCAAAATATTCAGAGGGTACAATTAAGACAATTAGTTACGCAAATCCTTGGATGCACCTGTGCTCGAACGTTTGAAAAGGACTCCGGAGGGTAGATTTTTGGGAAATTTCGTAGAGTCACTGGGAGAAACTATGGTGTGAGGTAAAAGGATAATTCAAAGGTCGGTTTTCGGGAAGCGATTAATTTGTAGGGCACAAGGACCGTGAAATCGAAAGCTCGGATATGTGTGCGTGTGTTTGGAATACGCTGGATTTTCGAGATAATAATGAGGTTTCGGCTTTTCGAAACAACGCGAGCCAAAGTTTGTGGATCAAAGAGAGCCGACACGTAGCCTCCCTATATAGTCTTTCGCAATTTCGAGGCCTTTTTCTCGGACACCTCCGACGTCGACTTCTATTTTCCG